ATATATTGATGCTGTGGGGAACCAGTAAACTCATGATTTTTAAAAAAAATTTCTTTCTTAACTGGAAGCGATGATACATAGAATGTTGGTTCCTAAATTCCATTATCACCAAAAGGAACCAGTGCTGATATAGGCCTGGGACAGAGAGAGTGCAGCCGAGTCTGTTAATATCTCAAGTGCCAGAAAACAAAGACTGATGAGATCATACTAAATGAACATCACCAGTATCAGGAAAATCTGCCACTACATGACTCCTGATATGAAGCGACAGGAAGCACAAAACATCCTCTAGATAGGGTTCTTCCCAAAATTGTTTACCTGAATTCAATCATGAAGAAACAGTAAGATAAACCCAGAATGAAAACCATTCTACGAAATTAGTTCAAACTCTTCAAAAATGTCATTATGATGAAAGCCAAAAAAAAAAAAAGAAAAAAAAAAGGCAGAGGCAGGCACTGTAAAATAAAGAAGACTAAAGAGTCATGACAATCAAATGCAATACACGATCCTGGGCTGTATTCTGGACGCAGGAGGGAGGAAGCCAGCTTTTATAGACATGTTGGGATAATTAGGGAACTCTGAATATTGACTGGGTATCACACATAACTGAATCAATACTAAATTTCCTAGGCGTGATGATGGGATTGAAGTGATGTAAGAAAATGTTCGTTTCTTAGGGAATATATGCTGAAGTATTTTGAAAAAAATATTTAAACGCCTTCTTTATTATAAATTTTTTTCACATCTAAGCTTTACATGCTGGAATAACTTAAGTTTTACGGAAAAGTTGTAAAGATAGTACTGAAAGTTCCTGTATACCTCTTACAGTTTTCCCCATAATTAACAGCATACACTACCATGACACTTGCATTGTTACATTACTGCTAACTAAACTCCAGACTCTATTTGGATTCCATCAGTTTTTTCATTCATGTCATCTTTCTGTTCCAAGATTCAATCCAGGACACCACATTGCATTTAGTTGTCATGCCTGCTTAGTCTCCTCTGATCCGTGTGTGATAATTTTCAGTCTTGTTTTTCACAGCCTTGACAATTTTGAAAAATACTGGCCAATTATCCTGTACAATGTCCCTTAGTCTGTTTGGTCTGATGTTTTTCTCATAATTAGATTGAGTTTATCTTGGGGTTTTCCAGAAGAATATCATGGATGTGAAATGTGCCCTTCTCATAATACCGAATTAGGAGTACGTGATAGCTACATGGCATCACTGTAGTGTTAATCTTCATCACTTGGTTAAGGTAGTGTTTGCAGGTTACTGTTTTTCTCCTGGGTTGCTTGGGTGTGCTGCTTTTCTCACGGTCCCCTTTCAGTGCAGCTATGTCATAACCTCTGTAATACGATTAAGTTCATTTGTAACAGTCTGCATTCCATGCTGGGATCCCTTTGACATCCCTGATTGACGTGTCTGTGTGTGTGTCTGTGTGTATGTGTTAGTTTACATGCATTAAAGTACATTCTTTCTGATGTACAGTTCTATGGGTTCTGGCAAATACATACATTCATATATCCAACACCCAGTACCATACAAAACGGTTCCTTCACCTTAAAAGTTCCCTTTTTAGCCAACTACTTCCTTCTTCGTCAATCTCTGGCAAATATTCATCTGTTCTCTATTTCTATAGTTTTTCCTTTTCAAGAACAAATCATACAATATGTAGTCTTTTCGGTCTAACTTCTTTCACTTGCATTTAAATTTTATTTATGTTGTTGCATGAATTAATAGTTTTAATGCTGAATAGTATTCCACTGTATGGATGTACCATAGTTAGTTTATTGGTTCCTCTGTTGAAGGACATCTTACTGCTTCTGGTTTTTAGCAAATATGAATAAAGCTGCTATAGATATTCACATACAGGTTTTTGTGTAGACATAAACTTTATAAACCCTTGGGTAAATACCTAGGGTTTTTACCCTAGGTATTTAGGTAAGTGCTGGGTCATATGGTAAGTCTATGTTTAACTTATAAGAAACTGGCAAGTTGTATTTCCAAGTGGCTGTACAATTTTGCATTTCCACCAGCAAACATTTAGTTTCTGTTGTTTTGTATCCTTGTCAGCATTTATCAGTTTCTTGTATTTTACCCATTTTAATAGATGAACAGTGATATCTCCTCGTGGTACAAATTTTAAGGGCTGTGTTGCTTGTCTTTCAAATTCAAATGTTACACAAAATTTTAATTTAAAAACTTCACTTTAAAAACTAAGATTCCCAGATTATATTCATAAAGTTTTAGACCATAGATTTCAGATCATGTAAGGCCTTTTCCTTCAAATTAAAAAAAAAAGTTGTTGCTGTTTCTAAGTACAAAAGTAGATAAACACAAAGGAAACATTACTGATAGCTCTATCATCCAGAGATGATCACCAATTTCTTCTAATTGTGTGTGCACGCACATGTGCTCAGACTACAGCACATCTAAAGACCTCAAGTTTACAGCAGGAATGACTGATATGTTTGAGGAACAGAAAGAAAGCCAAGTGTGAATGAAGGGTGAAGCAAGGTGGCTGTAACAGGAGATGAGTTTGGAGAAAGGAGCATCAGTTCATGTAGAGCAGGGTTCTTCAATGTTGGTGTGTGTCAAAATACCAGGAGGCCTTGTGAAAACAGATTGCAGCACCCCACCCCCAGAGTTTCTGATCCAGCAGATCTAGAGCAGGGCCAGAGACTTTGCATTTCTAACAGTTTTCCAGGCACTGCTGACGCTGCTGGTCCAGGGTCCCACCTTGAGACCCCCTCCTGGGCATGCCACACTACAATGAGGGGTCTGATTTTTATTCCAAATAAATGAGAAGACATTGGAAGATTTTAAGGACAGAATGATGTGATTTGCTTTGAATTTTCAATAGAGAATAGTGGCTGAGGTGTGAAAGCTGGATCAGAGGGGATAAGATGATAAACGGGAGAGTAGTAAGCATACTATTACTAGTGAGGAAAGATGGTGTCTTGAATTAGGGTAGACGAGATGTTAATGTGAATGTATTCAGGATAAATTCAGGGAAAAGCTGACAGAACTTGCAAACAGATTAGGTATTAGGGTGAAGGAAGGAGAAATAAAGGGAATGTTGAGGTCATTGGCTTGACAACTGCCTCTATGGAAGACTTTATGGGGTGCTAATCATAAGTTCTATTTCAAAAATATTTAGTTTGAGATATGTTAATATACAATTAGAAATAATACCAAGTATGCAAGTTGTACAAATCTTTAGCTCCAAGGAAGAAAAATAATTAAAAAATTGGAAGTCATTAACACACAAATGATATTTATCATTACAAAACCTACTGAGGTCATTATTTTGCACACCTCCTAGGGGATATCTGGCAATATCTGGAGATATTTTTGATCATCTTGACTTAAGGGTTGGGGAACTACTGGCATCTGTTGAGTGGAGGCCAGGGATGCTGCTAAATATCATCAAATGCACAAGAGAGCTCCAAACAATAAATCATCCTGCTCGCAATATCAATAGTTGTGAGGTTGAGAAACTTGTGTATAGATAGAAAAGTTGTCTTTCTTGTATGAAAGGAGCAAGGGAACATAAGGCCTTTCTCAGACATACAGCGGATTGGAAAATATACCGCTTATGTACCAATTTAAATATTACTTAAATATGTATTTGGTCAGCTGAGAAATGATTAAAAATATATCAAGAATTACATTACATAAAAAAAAAGAAATACATTATAGTATTGGACTTAAAATCAGACAGTGAAAAAATAGTTATAACAAGGAAATAAGGTAAAACTAATATCATAATAGTTCAAATGAAAAACTCTGATTCATAAACCCATCAAACCATATGTAGTCCCCAGGGCTCTTCTGTTAGATTATGCTACCTATACACCTTTGTTGAGTGAGTAAATGCACAAATATGTAAGCATGTGAATGAATGAACAATATGGCTTAGCTCTCTTAGGTATTAACAAATACACGTAACAAAGAAACAGAAGAGGCAGTCTGGAATGTGAGTGCAGACTCACAATTTCTGGAGTGTTGGTAAACATCCACAAAATCCCTAAAAATGGTAAAACTCAAACAGTATAAAGGAGATACAAGAGGAGGAGGATTTGAAATGAATAGAAACCGCAACTTTGGAGGAAAAAATTCCAATATATACAATGATCCTAGTATCCTTCAACTTGAGCATCACACAAGCTGTCCATTGTCACCAGAAATTTTCAAGTCAGATTTCTAAAGGCTTTATTCTCCGGAAAATACCTATGAATGAAGTGTTCATTCTGGGTAAGATAGATGCACACTACAGAAGATAACTTGATAGCCTACTCATTGGAACACATTTATTTCACAAACAAGACTACAGAAAATCTTTCACACAGGCACGTGTTAAGATCACAAATCTGCCCTAATGTTAACGCTTATACTACCAGAGGAAGCTGAGTATAGTGGAGAGATACTAGAATTAGAGGATACATATTTTCTAGGTATGAGGAAGTGAATATAAGAAAAAAAAACCAACTCAATGTTAAAAGATGTGTGAGAAAGACCTTCTCACAGGGAAAATGGGAGAGCTAAGAGAGATAAACATAAAGAGATATTCTGTAATTAGTCTAACCAAAATTAACATAAAGAACAGATGACTTCACACATAAAGATGATGCTTTTAACCCATGGACAGAAATGTTTAAACGAGAATTACCTTTCACCAAGAAGAACAAATTGGTCTGTATCATTCACATTCACTGGCCAGTGGAGTACACGAGAAGAATGATTGAGTCAGTGACTACGATCTTATATGAAACCCTTACACACCCAAAGCCTACCACAATACTTTCTATATTATTGACAATTATGTTTAATAAATTAGAGCTGTAAGCTAGGCTCATGGGAAATTACAAATAAATTATTTTAGGTAATTCATGATCAGAAAATTCACACACTGCATACCGGTCCACCTTAACTCTGAATCAAAAGAAGTTAAGATTGTGCGACCTTAGACACACAGGACTGACCATAACTCACCCTTCCCAGTTCTTTATCTTCAAGGGCCAGGACCCCAGTGCTTTCCGTGAAGAGTTTTACTTTGACCACAGGCCGAGGATGGGTAGTGGTGAAATCTCCTTGAGTTCCCCATCTGCAATGAAGTAACAAAGATTTTCTTTAAAATGCATCATTAATTTTTTTTTTTCCAGATAGATGTGTCTCCTTAGAAGGCACATTAAACAGTACAGAATCTTTTCTGGCTCAATGAGATTTTTATCTTAGCTTTTGTTTCTGACAGATGGCACAGTCAAGAAGGAAAATAACAATAAACTTTACAGCTTGTAATAATTATTCAGCTGTTCCAAAAATTAGCACACTAGAGTACAAAACATAGTGTGCAATAAGCATTCAGGTTAAGGTAAAGCATTATAGATGTAGCTATTGAAAACTTACTTTATTACTTCAAATACAAATTACCAAGCTATTTTTATGGATGCTAGGGAAAATTGTTAAGGGTTTGCCAACTACATAAGAGGTAGTTTCTCAGGAAACTATTTTTGCATGTGAAGACTTTACCCTATGTCTTCTTGGAAAGTCTTTAAAAGATATTTTATTCATATTCTAAAAGGTGGAGGTAATTAGCTCAAGTCTATTACTTTAAACAATTTTTAAAGCCCCTGTCAAAAAGAAAGAAATATGCATCATAAAAATATAAGTGTCTTGCAGTTAATTTCCCAGCACACTCTCCTAGGAATGAAATAAATCTGTCGACATCTGGCTTTTCAAATCATCATAACAAAATAACATGTTTTCTTGGCTTATCTTTTAATTAACAGCATCTTATCTTTACCACACACCAATTCATTCTAGTGTATTTACAAACTTAACTGGCACACATCTGATATTAAAAAATCTTATAACGTTTCTCCTAACTCAGAGATCACAGGGATGAGATTCAGCAGAGCATGAAGAAAACGCCATTGAGAAAAATATACATAAGAGGAAGAAAAGTGAGACTTAAGGAAATCAAGATTTCTGTTAAAGATAAATCACCAAATAAAAATACCAATTTTCTTATATTGTTTTAAAAAAATAATTTACCATTTTCATGACACTGTCTGAGCTTTGTTTTATAAACCGTATTCAGAAAGCTTGGGGCCGGCCCCGTGGCTTAGCAGTTAAGTGCACGTGCTCCGCTACGGGCGGCCCGGGTTCGGATCCCGGGCACGCACCGACGCACCACTTCCCCGGCCATGCTGAGGCTGCATCCCACATACAGCAACTAGAAGGATGTGCAGCTATGACATACAACTATCTACCGGGGCTTTGGGGAAAAAAAAGGAGGAGGAGGATTGGCAATAGATGTTAGCTCAGAGCCAGTCTTCCTCAGCAAAAAGAGGAGGATTAGCAGGGATGTTAGCTCAGGGCTGATCTTCCTCACAGAAAAAAAAAAAAAAAAAAAAAAGGAAAGCTTGGGAAATGCAGAAAACTGAGGCAAGTATAATAATTCAATAATTGTGATGTCTTCTCCTATCACAGCAGTTATAACATCGTAATATGTGTACAGTAAAGCAGAGTCCATTTCAACGACTAAAGAAACTAGCAGCCAGCTGCAGTTTGTTCTTCGAAATTAAATTCACATGCCAGAGGGAAGAGCGAGATTCAACTAGTGCGGAAAAGCAGCTTAACTCCTATGTTAGACTTCTAGAAAAAGGTTAGCAAAGAATCTTTTTGCCATTTCATAGAATTAAGATAGTCTGAGATAAAGTGGAGCTAAAATAGGAATAAAAATAAATGCAGAACCAAAATAAGGGAGTAGAGAAAAATTCTCAGTTTAGTGTGTGGGACCTTACACCTTAATGCAGTTGATCTGGATGACGACTCTAGAGCAGATTCCCATGACACATGCTTCTTTATTTATTCTTTATCGTGTGGTTAGATTTGGAAAACAACCCTTGGAGACATTTCCTTATAACTGAAATCAAAGATGTGTGGTAGTCACGTAGACACAGTCTAATAGTTTTCCATGAATTTGCTGATCTTTTAAACTAAATTCTCTTCATAAAAATTCTGTGCGTATTAAGTCAATGACATTTTTCTCCTCTAATGTCAATATCCTTTGAAAGTATTTATATTGTTTTCTACGATCATTTGAAATTCCCAATCTACTCCAATATGCAGTTCTCCAAAGAGAAAAATATTGCCTGACACCATTAACCTTCACTGAGGCACTTGGTGAGTTTTGTCTTTTACCCTCATCCTTCTTTTATTTTACATGAAGGGAATTGTGTTGGCAATTCTACTTTGTTAGACAGAATAAGACAAAGAACAATGCATATGTAATGAACTGTGCTCACTCTTGATTCCATGAACTTCTAGAAAACTGCCTTCTACCTCGGATCCCTCACAAATAAGCATCTTCAGCAACTATTCTTCAACCTTTATTCGCTATAGCACATCTCTTATTTACTCATTAAAAACATTTTATTGTGAATATCCTATATAAAGTGTCTAAAAATGCATTTTAGAGTGTAAGGAGAAAATCAACATTCCCATCACTCTGGTTAAGATGGAGAATGTACCAGGACATTAGAAGACAACCTCTTCACACCGTGCACTAGTCACATCTTCCTCTCGTCCCCACCTCACACTACCATCAAAATAGCTAGGACTCTGGATTTTACATTAATAATTCCCCTGAATTTTTCTTAAAGGGAATATTTTCAGCATTTTTACCTCTGAGTGTGATCATTGCTCTAGATTTCTAGTAGTTTGTCTTTAATGGGTCAAGGAAATTCTCTTTTCCTAGTTCATTACATACACACACATAAATAAATCAGAATATAGATATATGTGCACATATATACATGTATAATATATCTTAGATGTGGCATCTAGCGTATCATAGATATGTCATAGATTATATATATCCTCCTCTATATATTATATATATAATCCATTTCTGGATTTTCTCTATCATAGTTATATCGTATATATGTTATATGGAGAGTCAAAGAAATATCATAGATATGATATATATCATAGATACCAGACAGATCCTAGACAGATCCTATCTATCATCCAGAAATGGATGCTCTATTTTAAGCATTTTCTAGTATCTATTGTGATGATCAGTAATTATAATAGATTATATTGATCCATTTTCAGACCTAAACCTAATTTCCTCCTTTAAAAAAAAACAAAAACAATACTCGACTTAGTATGCTAATACTTTGTTCAGCATCTTATATCAAGGTTCATGATTGAGACTGGCCTGTAGATTTACCTTCTTGTACTTTCCTTGTCTGTTTTTGTTATGCTAGCCCTACTAAATGAGTTGAGAAGTGCTACGTCTTTATTCTCTGGAAGAGTCTGTAAAATGTGGGAATTATCTGTTCTTGAGCCCAGCCTATCTTTACAGGAAGATATTTGCTACTGATTCTATTTCCTCACTGGTTATAGTTATAAAACTACTCAGGTTTTCTCTTTGAACAAATTTTGATAACCACTATATTTTAAGGAATATATTTCATCTAAGTTTTTCAAAAGTATTTCCACAAAGTTGTGAAATCTCTTTATCTTTTGAATCTACAGCATTTATTAAGTCTCCGTTTTCATTCATAATATTTTCTTTTTTTTCTTCATTTTAAGCTAAACAGAGGTTTCTCTCTCTTTTATTATTCTTTTCAAACTCCCATTGTTTGACTTTGATGATCCACTCTATCTCAGTTGGTTTTCTATTGCATTAGTCTGCTCTTTGTTATTTCACTCTAATTTATCCGTGTTAATTCTGCTGTTCAAAAATTTGAAGTTGAATGCATGGCTCATTAAGTTTAAGCCTTTCTTTTGTTCTGGGTAAGCATTTAAGGCTATAAATTTCCCTTAACCACTTTAAGCACAGCATTCCATAAATTTACAATGTAATATTTTTATTATTCAGCTGTTTGCAGATGTGTTTTTAGAATTTTTAAATGAATGAAGTTTTCCTTTTTCTTAAATTCTATACTTATTGCATCAGATTAAAGAATATAACTTGCACGGTACTAATGTTTTGAAATAATTGAAACTAGCTTTATATTCCAGTATATGTATGTATTTACATGTGTGTGTAACTTTTCCATGAATATTTGAAAAGAAAAAGTACTCTCCATTGTGGGTATGGTGTTGTACATATGGCCATAAGATCAAGCTTGTTTACTGTGCTGTTTAGGTCTATTTTATCCTTAATGATTTTTGGTATCCTTTATATAGCAAGGTAGAAGTATTAAGATGTCCCACAAAGATTGAGAGTTGGTCAATTTCTCTTTGTATTTTTAGCCTTTTGGTGTCCTATTTGGTGATGTAAAAATGTTCTATAGTAACCATGCCCTTTGAGTAGGAACTGTTTATTATCTTTTAGAATCCCAAGGTCATGACTACTCTTCAACTATTAGACTTGTGTAGAATTAGAAAAGTAACACTATGCTAGGAATGGCAGTAAGGTACGGACAAGCTTGGAGAAGTCAGAAAAGGAATCTAATCGATATATTGCAAGTAGAGATAGTAATTTTATTAGAAAACAAAGAGTTGGCTAAAATTTACAGGAAATCATTAGCGATCTAGAACTTGAAGAGGAATCCAGGATATCCATTTCCCAAACCAGAATGCCAACGAAGGCAGGCAACAGACGAATATCACAGGCCTCAGGAGGCAATTCACAAGAACATATCTACCTACAAGGTCTGGGACCTCTGAGTCAAGAGCATGGGGCACTAACAGCCAGCTCCGGGGAAAGAAGGAAAGCTTCAACAACACGCTTTCAGGCAGGGAGAGGTTGAGGCACAAGGACACCGGCTGCTCCTAACCGTCACAGCCAGAGGACAAAGCTTCACTGACATTTGGGAAAAAACGTGCAGTTTTAAAGGGGTGCACAAATATAAACATGGTGGCACTTAATAGCCCTTATGAATCTCAACATTCCAGGATACAAACAAACTGGCACCACGTTGATCATTTCTCTCGCGAAAAATAAAAGTTAAAAAGATATATACAGATATAAAATGCCTACGAATTCTATAATGAATGAATTAAAAAACAGAGCCTCCCTCTCCCCTCCCCAATAAAAGGCAGGGGAAGGAGGCAGGAAGATAATAGGCCTATCTTCAATATTTA